TGTTTGTTAAATAGTCTCACATTAGTTGTGTAATGGCAAAGAATCTAATCCTATCTTACTATAGAGTTATAACCCACTAAATCCTAAAGCTCAACATGCAAAGATACCAAATCATCATGCATTAACAAGATGCCACATCATCATCCACTAACAATTACTACATTTAAACATCATGCAAGCATGTTATATTATCTTAAATTTATAATTTATTAAATTTTAGAGTTTTAAAATGTAAGCATGTTAAATAATCATTCCACATAATTCACATAATATTTCAATATATCTCTTCATCATTTTTTATAATATCATATATACCTATATGATTCATCCTTACTTATTTAGTGTTATTTCTCTCTTCTCCCATTAAATCATATCACATCAATTATTTTTAGCCTTAGATGATTAATCTATGGTCCAAAGGATCTCACACCTTTTCTTCTTTCATAAAAGCACATCATATTACTTTTACATTTGAATCATCATTCTATATGTAAGTTTATATTTTTTAGCTATTTTACATATTTTTTTTACTTATTGTTATCATACTGAACTTCCGCAGCAACACACGGGGTTTCACCTAGTATATAAGTGAGGGAGCCCCTCACCTCGTTAGCTAGCTTTTGAGGTAGGAAAGACCATTTAGGATACTACAATTGGTATCACAGTTTGACTAGTTTAATATCTCTGGCCAGAAAAACAAAGTGTACGAAGGCCTGATGTACCGAGGATGCCTACGGGGCCTACATACCTTAGAGACCGTCGGGGTACGGTCAAGAGGCAGCGAACGGCTGAGGAACATCAATGTGTGAAGGATGATATTGTTGAATAGTCACATGTTGGTTACTAATATATAAGTGGAAGAAGCCATCACCTCATTAGCTATTTTTTTAGTGAAAAATGTCCTTTATGTTCATACAAAAACATGTTTAGTACTCCACCAGACTCATACCCCTATACCACAAATGTTTGATAATAAGCAACTTGATACATGACACCCATGAAAAATATGGTTAGCATTACTGCTGATATACATGGCAAAACAAAGAATATAAAAAATGCTCCCTAGTTTGATTTGTGAAGAAGGTTAAAATTCATTGGAGGTTGTTCTGCCTGGCATGTTCAGGGATTTTGGTTTGCAGTAGCTGGGCCAGTCTTCGCCGTAGTAATTGGTGTAGGGATGTTAAAGATTCAAGGCCCATAGATTCTTTCGCAACCATACCTATCCCTGAAATATTTTTTTGTTAAAAAGTACTTAAAACTTAAACCCACCCTATTTTGAAACCAACCCTCAAATTTTATAGTCCTGTCCTATAGTAAAGGTTGATGAGACACTAAATTTGCGATATTGCTTGTACTCATACACATTAAATTGACCGGCGCTTGAGTATATTTGCATAGCCTCGTCGCGACCTACGCAGGGCCTAACAATCAGTACGCCCATTAGTAAATAGGCAGCGATTGATAAAACATAATCATCTCACAGAGAAAAAAAAAGAAAACAAAAAAGGAAAAGCATATTCAGTGTCCAAGCGGGTTACTTGGAGAAGATTAGAATTAACGGTGGGGAATGAGATACATGGGGAAGGAACAACGTTACACATCAGTTGTAAGCAGTAAAGATGGCAGCACTACCGCACATTTGAACAGTCTCGGCGACGTCCATGAGAGCTGCAGTTGCGCAAAGCTGCAGGCAGGCTCACTGCTGTTCGTGGGATTTATGCGGTTAATGTCTAGGAACACTCAAAATAATTTGCCTGCTGATGCTACTTGCTGAACTGGTGAACATGCTGATCCTACTGATTACTGAAGAAGTGAACTCAATTGGTTAGTCGATTTATACAGTGTGTTAGTCGATATCATATTGGTTGGTCGACTTATACAGTGTGTTAGTCGAGCTCATAAGAAAAAAAAGGTAAGATGGTATAACTGCCGTTTAGCACCAGAAAAAATGTTTGGTTAATTAGCTTGTTTCCCCCTTCTGCCTCTCTGCTTTGCAGCTTCTTTACGACTAATACCAATATGCTCTATCTATCCCAAACTGGCATGAACAGATTGAAATTGCTAGTTGTACATGAATTGTTTCAATCCAAGACGCTTTCTACGGATATTATATAGTCATACACATTTTGGCACATCCATTTTTTATGTTTTTGAGCAATTTTATATACGGTTCTTGAGAGTCCTGGAAAGTAAAAAAAAAAACCTTTCTATGTTAATTTACAGTACCTCCCCGTATCACAAAAACCTTTGGTGTAGAGAAAATCAAAGGTATCACAAAAATTAATACAATAGATGGTGGTATCTCCCCGTATCTTCTAAAGTACCAAAAACCTCTCTTTAATTTGCTAATTTTCTGACAGAACGCTAAGCTGTTAGTTTCATAATACAAGCTTGCTATTTGCTGCAGTATCGTATACATAAAGGTGGATATATTAGATGATGTTCAAAGCAATATCTTTATACATGTGACAAAAGATACATGCGGTTGAATGCAGAAACAGTGCACTAGTCTAGAATGCTACCTACAATTGGAATTACTACTTACTCCCTTCGTCCCGCGAAAAACAAATATATAATTGAATAACACATTCTAATATAATGAATCTGAAGTTCTGGATCGAGGTATGTCCAGATTCGTACTACTAAGATGTGTCTCATCCAGTACTAGGCTAACTTTTTATAAGGTGGAGGGAGTATTAGAAGCTAGGCAATTAATGTTGCTACTATATATACAACAGGAAAACTGCTCTCCTCAAACCTTTGCCTCCTCAACGGGCCTAGACTCGTAGGAGCGGCTCTTATTCGATGTAAGAAGACTAGGAGAATTTAGCATATACAATGCTCCATAGAAGTATTAGAAATAGGTGACATCAGGGAATCTATAGTTTTTCACAGGGGAAACATCCTTGCTTTTATTATTTTCATGTTGGCAGGTTCCACATCATTACTATCACAATGACACATCTGTTGCGCAGATAAATCTTGCCAGGCCAATCTAGGTTGTTGGCAAACTGGAAAGAAGATTGAATTAGGCATCAAAATATGCCAAGTGCAGTAGGTCTCAGCTTCTATCTAAGGCACAATGGATATTCTGATATTGATAAACCATACTGATCATTAGTCATTAGATGTTCAAAAAGGCCAGCTATGTGCAAGTTATTTAGAAAACCATACTGATCATTAGTCATTAGATGTTCAAAAAGGCCAGCTATGTGCAAGTTATATTTTGTAGACAATATATACTTGCATTTTTGGTATTTGGTCAGAAGACAGAGGTAGAGAGGCGGTGGCATGGTGCAAGTGTGTAACATGGCTATGCTGAAAGACACTTCAGAATTTTCATATTTTGCTGGTGGACATTTCTCCCATTAAAATAAAGCAAACAAAATGTCCATATATCTCAACGGTTTCAAAAATAATTTCACATTCAAATATGCAATGGACTTAGTGTAATATTCTATATCAAATAGGTAATCCTATTGATGCCTCTTATATCTTGTTGGATTAAAAGCTTGATGAAACGACAAAAATACTCAATCCCAATCAGCAGAAGATGGTAATAGGGATACAAACGGGTATAAAGTCCCGCTACTCAGCATAAAAATTTGCTTATTAGTTTATTTTCCACATGACAGTACAAAAGTTGAAAGAGAAAAATGAACGAAAATCTATTTGCTCTTCCCGTTTGCATCCTAAATCGTAATGTGCTTAACTTACTCAACACTCACCTTAAGGGGAAAAAAAACTGATTTTATTGCACTCCTCGGCCGTCAGAAACACTGCATTAAAAACACATCGTGTACATTAATTAAATATATTCAAAACATAGATAAGATGGAAAACTGCCTCCGAAGCTCCAACCTCCTCCCTCTCTTCCCTCATGTAATTTACACCAGTGCATGCTTGATACCACTGCATATACTATACCTTCACCTTTGGGTTGCAGAGACATCCAACGTAAATATATACTACTTCCGTCCGAAAATAAGTGCAGGTGTGGGTTTCTATGTTTAACATTTGACCGTCCGTCTTATTTAAAAAAATTAAAAAAAAAATTATAAAAGTCACACATAAAGTATTATTCATGTTTTATCATCTAATAACAATAAAAATACTAATCATATTTTTTTCTCAAATAAGACAGATGGTCAAATGTTGGAGAAAAAAAATCACAACCACACTTATATTGGGATGAAGGTAGTATATATAAAAGAAGTAGCAGCAAGCTTCTGGGCAGGTTCAGCTAGCCACACCCGTCCAAGAACATTAGTAGTAGCTACAGAAGCAGCGGAGAGCCGGAGAGGACTGCCAAGACTAGAGAAGAGAGGTAAGGAAAAACATGGAAGTCGTTGTGAAATGGGAGACATTGGGAAGCAAACAGCCATTACCATGCATACCGAGAAGCCTGAAGAACTTCAGTTAACTAACTATATATGTCTCTGGATTTATGTAAGATAAGCCAGAATCGCGAAATGGATAGCCAGTGCTTTGAACTGTCTCTGAAACCTTGGCGAATGTCATGATCCCTAGGTGATATCCAATTCTTTGCTGCTGACTGCTGAGTTGCAACCTTAATACAACGGTAGTTCAGTATGCTGAATCGTACAAGGCCAACTATTAGTAGTAGGAAAGCATGTGGTAAACCTAATCTATAGGCCAAAGATTAGTTGGACCTTGTTCTATGATGTAGTACCACCAAACGTAGAACCAGGTTATCGGTGCTTTAGAAATTAGAACCTTGTTCTGTTCTCTACTTTTGGAAAAACACATTTTTTTTATTGTGATGAAGTGGATAATGCTTTCCAATTCCGCTGCTAACATTCATACACACGCATGTACAATGTTCAAATTCTGATTGGACATCACATTCGAATTTGGTGGGCTCAAAAGCTCAGCTCATTTGAATCCCAAGCTCTTGTAGGATTGAGAACAGAGTAATACTATCACTGACTAGATAGCATTGCATACAAGCAAAACAATTTTCTCAAAGGCAATGCACGTACAAGAGAAAATTTGGATCAAATGAACAACCCAACTGTGAACGCAATAGATCCAATAATCCGATACAATATGTTCTTGGGAACTTAGCTCAAGATGTACGCACATGTTGTGGTTGTGGAATGATTTTGGGACATGAACCAAGTTATATTATATTTGCTCCTAAAATCACTAATGTGAAATTTAATTGGCTCAAAGAACTGAATGCCTTTCTTGAGTGTATATCCAGCAATGATTGCCAAAAAAAAGAGGTGATGAAAAATCAACTTGCCAAACATGCTACAGGAGAAAAACTCGTCTACACATTTTGTACATCCAAAACCATTCTCCTTGCCATGGCTGCTTAGCCGCACATGGCAAGAGCAAGATATTGATTAACAATTACTGGAGCGTTAAACCACTTGATAATTATCAGCAACCAAACGAACCCTCTGCGAATACTTTGGAGGGTTGCTACCTTCATTCAAAGGGCGGATTCCAGTAACCTGAAAATATCCAGCAAACAGAATTAACAAAAATGGAGAGATGGGAAGGAGAATCTGTCAAACAAAATGGGCAAACTAACCTTCACATTACTGAAAGTATTCGATGCGGAAAATCCAACGGATATGGGGTAAAACATTGATGGATCAGCTGGAGGAACAACAAATTCCATGGATCCACTGCAATGGTTCACAAAAATAAGAGCTAGTAATAAGAGCATAAACTACAAGATAAAAGAACAATGATAATTTGGAATTCACAGATTTCATGTACCTGCGGTTTGATTGATCAATAAGGATAATAGACCATTCCAAAACCGAGTTTCTTGAATCATACCTGTAGGGCAAAGAAAGGGAAAATACCAGAAGGCATGAGAAAGAGAGCATATGCACACAAGCTCAAGGATACAAAAGGGACAGAGTCTGGATGAGTTTGTAATAGCATTCCAGACAATGCAACGTGAATAATAGAATCAAATAGTTAAGTGCCATTCCGAGGAGTCACATCCATTAACACTTCGAATCTACCGTAAACAATAAAAACTAGAATACTAGTAACCGTTAGTAATGTTTCATATAAAAACTTAATATGATATTGCCATGCAGTCGTGTGCCCCCCCCCCCCCCCCCTTAAATATCTGCCAAAAAGGCAACATGATGCAAGAACAGCAGACATTATGCATTGGCCTGGACATGCAAAGGAAATCTTTCAACAAAAATATAAAAAAAATTCACAACAAAATTTTGCAGTAGTTACAAATACATAAGAGAACGGTAGAGGAACAGGAATATTACTTCCACTCTCCGTCTATCTGTCTAACACGTGGAGCCTCCCGAAGTGCAGGAAGAGGTATAGATATGATGACACTGTGCAGGTCAAACATCTCAGAAGCTTCATACTCGATGTTGACGTAGGTTTCATTTCCTAATATTGATGGCCAGCAATTGACTATGCAAAGCAAACAAGTTATTAGAACTCCAAATTACTAGATACCAGAGAAGAGAGAGAAGTGAATGTGCACCTGATAGAGGTAAAGATGACTCATTCATCCCCTGTATTCTCCATTTCACTAGAGGAGTTTCATTTTGACCACTTGGGAAAGGCCTGATAGGATCTTTTGCCCCCAGAATTTGCTGACTGTTAAACAAGTCCTTGTTGATATTGGGGTGTGTTTTGAAACTAAGTCCAGGAATATCTTGGCTTTCAATCTACAAGATAGCAAGTATTAACTAGTGAATAAACCAACTCCAAACAATAGTAAGAAAGAGATTTGGTTACCCAAAACAATGTGCAGTAAGGTTGCTTGTTAGCAATAAATGCATGGCGTTAGAAACATAAATCATTGCAAATGTTACAGTGAAGATCATCACCGCATTTCCATGGAGTAAGAAAAAAAATCTGTGCACAATCTATTTTATGTGAAAGGGCATCATAGTAGAAGGAAAGCATTATATTTATTAAAACAATATCACTATATCTTCACACCGAAAAAAGAAAGGAAAATGTTTTTTATGTTGTTTTATTCTGTTTCAAAGTACAAATTTCCCATATATGACAACAATACAAGAATAATGTTAATAAATATAAAAAAATTACCTGCAACAGGATTAATCCATCTGCATCATTAAGGACCAGCAGAGCAAGTGTTCCTTGAACATCAAAATTATTAACACCACCATCTCTTTTCACTGCAACATTGAGTTTCTCTTCAACAGCCACTGTGACAGGATCACTCGGTGGTAGAGGCGATGACCTTGACTGAAGAGAACATGGTTGAAAATCTTCCATAATGACTTCACCTTCAGCCTTCAATGATTCTAAGAACTGGTTCGTCTTCTTTGTATTTCCTAATTTCATTCCAATGCCTTTACCAGCACCTGTAGTACCTCCAGATGTACGACCTGCAGGTAGGTTGCTATTTAGAACAAAATAACATAACATCTTGTAAATTCTTCTTGCAGTTAAAGAAAAGAAAATATAGTTGACCAAAATGTCGAGAAGGACTTGACAAAAAAATATTCTGGATAACAGGACTGAGAAGAAAACATAAATTTTAATCAATCAGCAGATAATCTACACAGATAAAAGAAAGGCTAGGTTCAATTAAGACAGCATTATGGCAACCACCGACTTGTACAATAAATAGCTTTGCATCACAGATATAGCATGCAAGTTAGCTCTGGTATGTTTGCTGCATGACTTATTTTTATTCTGAAACAGTACAATTTTACGTTTAGTAACTATTTAAATTATATTTTACAGAACACCACAGACGTTACCATATTTAAGGGTTTGAAGTCTAAAAGGCTAGCTGAATGCATGCTCCTTCTGGTCTTAACAAATCTTGTTTTGGACTACATGTCTTGAAAATACAACTTTACTCACTAATTTCACTGCAATATATTCATGATTCTCATGCATCGTACCTAAATATCGAAAGGATTTTGATGTTCAAAGTGTTAAACATTGACATAAACCATGTCCAAACCATCTGGTCTTTCAAGACTGAAGGAATCATCTCAGATATATATAAGAAAAACCAGGATAAAATAGAAGAAGAGAAAATATAAATAAATAAAATTGTTACCAGGCAATAGGAATGGACACAATATGCATTTCTACTAATACTGCATGTAGTATTTGTTAAAATAGACCGAAAAATAATACCTTTGGGCCTGCTAGTAAATGTGTCTGTATCTGTGTTCAATCCACCTAATCCAGAACCACTTCCAAATCCAGTACAACTAATGCTCATGTCATTGAAAGATTTTTCAATCACCTGGGGACCTGATATTGATGAGTATCCTCCTTTGTTATGTTTGCCTTTCTCCATCTGCATAAACACCAACAATTTACGATTGAAAGCTACACAATAACAAGTAATGTATAGAAAGGTCATTGTAACCAATAATGTAGTATGATTCCAAGGGATATGTTTCCTGTATGATATTTCTCTAATTTTATTTTGTCTTGTTTGACCTAATTTCTCCTAAGGCTATCATACAGTCTAGCTAGTAGAAATTATGTTAGTACTAAATTTATCATATATTCTTACAGGTTCTAAAGCCCAACAAGCTAGTCTAGAAAAAACATAAGTCTATCCAGACAGATAAACTGTAACTCAAGTAATCATCAAAGATTGAAGGAACTGATAGTAACTGTAACCGAAGTAGGCCAAGATAAAAAAAAAAAAAAAAAAAAAAAAGAGGACTAAATAGAAGTAACAGCTCTATTTTGCCTACTAGCTAAATAGAAGTCATATTTGTCTGCAAAAAAAGAGTAGGGTGCACCCTGGTTTTCTCAATCTCAATAACTTTCTTCTTCATAAAATCTTTGGTTTCCTTGATTTTCTCTTGCATCATCTGCTTGTACTCCATCTCTTCAACACTATCCATCTCACAATATTCTTTGACCTGTTGAACTGTTACTTTTTCCTTATTTCCAAGAGAAATGGCTTCGTCAAAAGCAAATATAAGCTCAAAAGCTGTTTTACAAACACCATCGTCATCGAGAGAGGGGCAGTATTCAGGCACCTTTACATTGTTAAGGTTAAGGAGACCATGACTGTGGATAGTTGCCAACAAATAGGAAACAACAAAAGCATAACAACATTCATAAAAATTAACGGATAAATCAAGCTCTCGACATATGACACCCTTAGTTGTAAGAGGTGAATGCAGATCTTCATCAAACAAGAACAGTATTAATCATCTGCCTTCTATGTAATTTCCTTTCCTAGGTATCAGTCTCAGTTTGTGGGTGTCATTATAATCGACATTTCATTCCTCAAGAAAATAATGTTCAATAACGTTTTCAATTATTCTGACAATGTTCTTTGGTTTTCATTTAATAATCCCTCCAGCCATTAATATGTGATGCTTGACACTAACTTTAGTGTTAAAAACGAAATTAGTGTTAAGCATCATATAGTAGTGACCTGAGGGAGTAAGAACATAAGATTTTAGTAAAGTAGATTCCTAAAATCAGAAGGCTAAAGATACAAGAAAAGGATACAAGCTTGGAGAGTAGCCTCAACGTGTCGAGATCCTCAAGAATATTACTTTGTTTGTTTGTGATAACTACAAGATATAAGCCTTCAATAGGTTGGTAAACGTAACGGACATTTTCAGTCTCAATGTAAGTGTGCTGCTTTCCATTTCCAACAAGTTTAGGGAATGCTGCAAGTAATCCTTCAATCCTTATGCGAGTCATGTCAACATACTGTCTAGAAACAAGTGCTGCAATTGAGAAGGAACAACCAAAACATCATTCAGCCTAGGAACCTCAAAAGTTACCCTCAAGGATCATGAAACAAATAGTAATTGACAGCTATAAAATCCTTACAGTTGTTACTTGTTAAACACAAAACAGTTTTGGTATTAGGTCAACCAATTGACTGTAGAATTTAGAAGTCTTAACGAACAGGCAGTACGGTAACAGCAGCAAAGCTCTCCGATGCTTTTTCAGCAATTAGTAGCAGAATGCTATTGCTTTATGACTCCAATTGGCATGCGGTGAGCCGGTGACAAACAGTAGACAATTACAGATACAACTAATACTTTTATTAAAGAAAACCGAAATGATGGAAACATACCTTTTCCTGACTTTGAGATGATAGAAGCAGCAAGAACCACCTGAAGATACACAAAAAGTAATCAGTTCGTCACAACAACAAACCAGATAGATATCGGAGCTAGATGCAACTCAGTTTTAACAGATAAAGTGAGGATCACAAGATTGATGGGCGTGGCAGAAGCAAGAATTACAATCAGCCATACCATTTTTAATAACTTTGTCGGTCCCTGAGCTATTTACAGCCCAAGTCCACAAGTTACACACCTGCATAGATGAAAAGAAATATTATTCACTCAGCAAACGATTATCCAATAGAACTACAATTGTTGTGATAGGAGAAGAAAAAAGAGCGACAATTGCATCACTATTGTGGTAATAGTAGGAAAAAAGAGAAAGAGGGACAATTGCATCGTCAATTGCCATAAGAACAATGTATCCAATCCAAGCGTTTCAAAAGCAGCACAAAGCATTATTACCACGAAAACCTTTGATAAATAGGCTCTTCAATCGAATATGATCACACAAATTTCAACAGATACCGAATATACTCACAAAAAAGAAAAAAAAGAATCATAAGAACACTGCCCAGATTTCAGACCAAGATCGTCCCCTGACAGAGACGACATTTCTACAAAATGGGCAGCCTAGCAGGAGGAGCGGAATTAACCAGGATGGGAAATCGATCTCGAACTCGAAGACGACGACGGAAACGAAAGGGCAAAGATATCAAAATCCAAGAAAGCATGGGGGTTCCCGTACCTAGCGCGATCAAATCCAGGCCCCCGGATTCAGGCCGATCCACTCGAGGGGGCGAGGACCCTGCGAGGTGGCGGTGGTGGTGGTCGGCCCGCTCCGGGCGGCGGAGGGAAGGCGCGCGCTAGGGCTCCCGGGGCGGCGCCGCGGCGAGGAGGTTTCGGAATTTCGGCGTCGGCGTTTGCTTGCCGTACGTTCGAAGCTTCTAACTTTATCGGGCTGCGAGGCCCGGCCCATCACGAAGGTGAAAAAAAAGCCCACAACGTGTAGCGTGGAATATATGTATATTTTTTTACTCGGAATAAATGATTTTTTAGGGAAACACTCGGAGTAAATGGTGCAAAATTGTTACTTTTTTAGGGTGAATAGCTAAAGTGATCCTTCAAGTTTCATGCAACGATCATTTTAGTTCTTAATATTTCAATATGTCCATATTAGTCCTTCAAGTTTTATTTTAATTCAAACTTATCCTTGAACCCACATAACCAACAACTCTCTTGATAAATGACACTTATGCCCCCCTCATTCACATATATAAGAGAAAAAATTGCATGTAATGAATTCTTTTTATAGATAAAACAAAAATAAATTATGAACTTGCAAGTGTATACGATAGTCATTAGGCTCAATTTTCATATGCACATGTTGAAATAATGGGAAGTACATATGCAATGTTGTTTATTCATTTTGGTTTCTTTTTTCTAGTGTATAGTTGTATACAAATTAAGGGCAAAAGGGACATTTACTAACATAATTGTTGACTAAAAATAGGCATATGGCATATTAAGTGGGCCCAAGGATGATTTTAGACCAAAACAAATACTTAGAGAATATATGTGGACAAAATAAAACCTGAAGGACCAAATTAAGCTTTCGGTGAAACTTGAGGGACTAAATTAGCTATTCACCCTTTGTTATAGAAAAAATGACTGACATGATCTGAAAGTAGGGTAACATAGTGTTCAATATGGGTGGTAATTAGTTCAAAAACGCTTTGATTGTTACAATTGTTATAGAAGTTAGTATATATAGTGAAACAACGACTAACCTTTGTTGGTATTTATTATATCCACATAATAATCTGCAGGCGCATAAAGACTAATCTTTGTTGGTATTTATTATGTCCACGTAATAATCTGTAAGTGTATAAATACCGTTGTACTAGGATGCACGTCGACCGTGCTGGGTCGACCCACAGTCTAACCCACGTTACTTAAGGCAATGAATTGCAGGCCACGGGTCACCCGCGACCCACACATAGTCCTGACCTGCTGACCCACTATAGGTCAACCCATTAACGATTCTCCAGGCACATAAGACTCTGCCCATCTACACAGCTAAATCATTAGCAAGCATGATGCATCAAATGAGCAGCTAGAAAACATGCATCATTAACGTACTTATTATTCAAACAAAAAGTTAATAATTTGGTAGATTTTGACGCTCTTTTGGAATTACAGCTATAAATTTCACTCAAATATTGAACAAAGATTGAGTAGTAAATATTTCTTTCAGAAGCGGAGTACATTGCAAAATCTACAAAGCTTCAGCTATTAGTGTGGTCAGCATTAGCTTTGGAACTGAAGAACGAGATTCTTGAGAACATAGAAAAAAAACCTGAAGAGCAATTAGATCGTACAATATAACATCAAGAGAAAAAGTGTCCTCGTTTTCTAGACTATATGAATAAGTCTCAGAAAACAAATAAAAGAAATCTTGCACAGTAGTGATCGAGTCCTATATTTCATCTCCGTATTTTGAATCACGCGCGCCACCAAATATTCAGTGTCCAACTAGTGTACTGGTAACTCTGAAATTAACTGATGTAGCAGTTTTCATAATAAATTCTAGAGCACAAACAGAGCTATTGAACAGTAAAAGTCTCATTACATAACAATTTTTGGTAAACAGCATGATTACTAATGCAAAAACTGAGAGTCCTTCCAGATCAACAATTCCATTCACAGAAAGAATTCCTTGGCCTTGAGAGAAAGAACAACAAACCATTAGGAAAAATACAACAATTTTGCATGATGACGCATAATCTGATCCAAGACTAAGAGGAAAAAAATACAACAATTACCTATCACGTACCTTCTTCCTGTGATAAGACCATCTCAAGAGAAGTGCCTGGAACATTTAAAAAACAATTAACTACGTAAACTCCATTGGCGCTGTCATACACTAATAGTTTTCAAAGAAAAGGGGATAGACTTACAATCAACTCTCATCCAATCCTATAGACAAATGAGAGCCTCAACAATCTCATGTTTCAATCTACTTCTGTAGTCATTGATTACCCTCCCTCCTGTGTTAAAAGCATTTTTCAGATGGAACCGTTGATGCTGGAATGGCAAACACATCATGTGCTATGCGTGAGAGTACAGGATATTTTAGTGAGTTTGCCTTCCACCAAGTTAAGATATCAAAATCATCAACTCGAGGCAGTATATCTTCTTTATAGTATAGCTCAAGCTCATTAGGAGCAATAGTCTTGTTCGCTCAAGAATTTATCCCAATCAACATGGCGCACATTCTCTTGCAAAATGCCTGCTTCAATATCAGTTCTTCCACCAGTCAATTCATTGTTTTGGTCGTTCACTTTTGGTGAATGATCAGAGAAAAGTTGTTCGATTGCCTTCTTGACCTCGCTCAACTTATTATTGGCCACATCTCCAAAAGCTTGCACAAAGCGAAATTTCACATATGAATACTTAAACCATGGGTCTAAAATCACAGGAACAGACAAAGTTAAGCATGAAATATTCCAATAATCTTGGAACTTTCGCTTCATAACATCCACCATTCTCACAATTCCCGCATCTTCTTCATTTGAGTAATTTTGATCAAGTGTTGACTTGATTGCCCAGATTTCATAGAATACCTTTAAGAACCTCAAATCGTCAAAAATGATTGAACCTCATGTCCTCATAGAATGATTGCATCTTCTACCAATGTTGACTTGATTACCCAGATTTCAACATTGGTAGAATCATAGAATACCTTTAAGAACCTGCAAACATTTTCAACCGCTTTCCACTCGTCATCTGATGGATTATACTTGAAATTGATATTTGCAACTTAAGCTCAAGAAATGCAGCTTCAAATTCTAAAGCACAATCCAGCATTAAGTAAGTGTAATTCCATCTAGTTGTGACATCATGGCATGGCCATCTTGAGTTGTGTGTGTTGAGAGTGAGAGTTTCTCCTCCTTACATAGTGTTGTAATGACGGTTTGGAAGTCGGTTAAGCTCGGGAATCACACATAACCGCCAATGGCGACTCATCAGGAGCCTACACGTGGAAACAGGTAGCGAAGGGAGACTATAGAGGTTCGTGAACTAGTATTTCAATATGGTAAATGGTATAGATCTGGATGTGAGGATGAACCCTCACTGTTTAATACAACTTTAACTTAATGATGTTTTTAGATAAAGCTGCTAAGTCTTAGATTTGTGAAATCTTATATACCGATTTCTAGGTTACAGCCACGTCTTGTGATTGGGCCACGTGGCAACACGATTATAACTCGGCCTGGATTCTTGACTGGAAAAGTGTGCCATGTATTCCTACTCATTTGCAGCCATCCGATGACATATCAAACGGTGACAAAACGTCCAGAGGATCTAAATGTAAATTGCAAATTTTGAGAGGGATTTTTTCTTAAATGAGCAATCTCATCTAGAACAATCAGGAGCAGAGGAAAAAATACCAGGAAAAAAAATCCAACCAAAAAAAAGTCCGGCAAGAACAAGATTTCCACTCTCCGAATCACCATGCCATCGCCGAGCTAACAACGACAACAATGTTGACCTCAAGCTTGATGTACCACCGGGAGCTTCTTGATGTACCTCAGAACTTGCTTCGAGTGACCTACCTCCACCTAGACATGAACCAAATAAGGAGGAGGCGAGAGACGAGAAGTGAGAAGCGGAGCTGGCGGAGGGAGATGGAGGTCCCCTACGGCTGGTCGCCTCGATCTGATCGCATCATCTCTCCACCTCCTCAGCGGCGCTGGACGTTGAGGCCGACAATGATGGGGATGCACTGAATCGGCCAGCGGCGAGCGGAGCAGTGGAGCAGCCAGCCTTGCCTTGTGATTTGTGAAATCTAGATTTATGCAAATGAACCAAGCCCTTCTTGTATCCTTTTATTCGTTATATGCATTATCCTAGTGGTGACTTGCTGAGTACGGTTGGTACTCACCGTTGCACTTTCACCCTCTCTTAGACTTACATGATGTGGAGATGCCGCTCGAGACTGCTCGCGAGGAGGGAGAACCCGGGGAGATACCCTGGGGCCTGATCCCCATACGATGCTTGTGGAGTTTAGTTGATCTGTTGCAGCTTCGCTTCCGCTACCTTATCTTATACTTTGGTTCTTGATCTTGGTGTTGTACCTGACCAGACCTAGGCTTCGTTCGTTCCTGGGCGATATGGGGGATTGAGATTGAAAAGCATCTCGTTTTCCGCGCGCACGCTTCCCAAACTACTAAACGGTGCGTTTTTTATAAAAAATTTCTATAGGAAAGTTGCTTTAAAAAATCATATTAATCCATTTTTGAAGTTTAAAATAGTTAATACTCAATTAATCATGTGCTAATGGCTCATCTCGTTTTACGTATCTTCCCAACCTCCCCAATCCCTTTCTCCTCAAACACACCCTTAGTCTATTCGAGGACCCACTCGGGCTTCCCTTGTAATAATGCGTAGTGCAAAACTATGTGATGCAGAATATGTTGTACCAGCTATGTAATGTGTGTATGCCAACCTACCGATTTAGGGAGTTGGTACTGTGAACACATGTGGTTTCCCAGTGTCTTGAAACCGGGGCCGACAAAAAGCAGCCGGAAAGAGGAGACGAGGCGAATGCCTTCGTTGTGTTGATTCTTCATCAATGCCCTATTCCTTGGCTGAAGGGCATATATTTGTAGTGCTGCTAGTTGACTTGCTCCCCTGGCATGTGACCTGGGCCAAGCCCATTTCTTCTGCAGCCCACTATCTGGCCCAACGTGTAGTAGACCATTGAGTACATGACAAAATAATTGGCACATCACAGCTTTTACCATGTGTGATAACGTTCTCCTGCTATGGCAACTATAAAGTTAGCCCGCACACATGCGCAGGCACCTTCTTATATAATATATAAGTGAAATTTTATTATGAATATTTATGTGAGGTTGGCTTTTTATTAAAATATTTTGTATTATATTCTAAACTAAAATTAAACTTATTTTGTGTGTTTTGAACACTGGTTATTTTTTTTATAATTGGTTGTTTTCTATAATTACCCTTGCAACATATAAATTGTAAAATAAAATTACTTGAAATCATGCGGTTTTGAATTGATGAGAAAATAGTGTCGAAACAATGGGGTGGTTCCTATGAGAAAATTTAGGGTATATTAACTCTCCAGAAGGATATCTTACAACCACAAAAGAAATCCAATAATATTAATTTTTTGTTTGGTTGTATTTTAAAATTTTATATACTTTTTCATTCTAACCGTCCTCGTAAAATGTTTGAATTTTATAATTTCATTCTAATAGTCCTCGTAAAATGTTTGAATTTATATTAAGTATGGGTTTTAAATCCATCAACATTTGTTCAATTTTCAATTTATTTAATGCCCATTTTGTTCTTTTGGATATTTTCATTCTATGATTCATCCAATGATTTGATCTTTGCAATTTAGGATGAAGATATAGGTGAGTGCATATAATCTGGCATGGGGTAAAGGCATACGTTCTAAATTTTCTCCCATGAAATATTGAATTAATGGCCATAGTGTATTTAACGAATCATCACTAAAGTGGATTATCTTATAATAGATACATGTTTCTAGATTGTTCTACATCAAGACTTTACGATGTACTGTAGCAAGTTTAACGAAAAAAAAGGACATGGTATTTAATTCCTATATGGAAGTGACTTGATTTATTGCTAAGGCCATTGCAAGGTTGTTTCACTGTTAAGATTTTTAGGTACAACCCACATGCTTATCAGTATGGTGTTCAACCAACCACAAACTTTAATTTTAATCTGTTGTCTATATTGCTAGATGAATATCTACTATAATTAGTGATTTTATAGATTATATGTGTAATTCGGAAGCTATGATCATTTTTCTTAAAAATATTTATGTATCTCCTAAAATGATCATTTTAAAAGTATCAAGGTCAATTTGTATAGGTACATAGCTCTCATATGCATATCGAGAGAAATTAATTTAAGTTGGCAGAAAGTCGTTAGATGCCTAATGGGATATAAGTAATAGATGGAGGTCCATTTGTGTTTTTTTGCCAATATGGATAATTTTAATTTTGATTGTTAAGGAGATAAAAAAATAGAGAGAAAAGAATGGCGTACATAGTACACGGCAGGGAGGGTGGGAGGGTTAGGATATTTTTCTAAATGATTAATCTAACTATCCAAAATAGTGTGTCAAATGTTTATATTGAAACCGATGGTTGGATGTTTTGTTTTTTTTAAGAATTCAGATTAGAGTGTTACTTGGCGTCCTAGGAGTGTTTGTAAGGTGCCAATTGGCGGCTTATGAGTATTTATAGGATGTTTAATAAACCTTTAGTATATAGTAGTCTTTTTTTCTGAAATTTCTAAGATTATCTTTAATTTAAGTATGTCATATAGTGTCTTAGAGGTGTTTATAAAATATTTAATGGATTTTAATACTACACGGGGGTGGGGAGGGAGGGAGAGAGGTTTTGAATTTTTTTATTAAAAAATCCATCAATTTTGAATTTCTTTTTATTAAAAAATCCATCAATTTAAGTAGAAATCGATGGTAGATTGCTTTGTATTATTTAAGAGTACTTTCTCTAATTTAATAGCATCACGTAGCGATTTAGAAGTGTTTGTAAGATTTTAAAGTGACGGAGGAAGAGTTGCTAGATCTAGTAGTTGGCCTATTTGTGATTTATTTTGCTAATAAAAGTAATTTTGATTTTTTTTTTCTGATGAAATAGAAAATAACAAACAAAGGAACAGAAGGAAACAGAAGGAAGTACGTACGTTACTATTACGTACGTTTGTACATTCGTTTCGGACTTTTTTTTTTTACAGAATATATAGATCTAACCATATGGGTCCGCCGTTCGACACGTTTGTACGTTCGTTTCGGATTTTTTTTTATTTTTTTATAAAATAGATCTAACCATCCAAAAATAGGTCCACCAATTTAACTAAAAATAGATGGTCGGATTTATCTTATTTATTAGGATGCCATTTGGCAACTTAAAAGCGTTTATAAGGTGTCACTTGTCGATTTAAGAGTGTTTGTAGAAAGTTTAATGGATTTTTAGTATATAATAGATAGATAGATAATAGATAGATAGATAGATAGATAGATAATCCAATGAGAGTGTTTGTCGGCCGAACGTAATCTTTTTTGACAAACAACACATACATACGAACTACGTATTTATGCATTAGAGATTGGATGAGTGATTTGCTGGATTGATCAGGAGTGATTAGCAGGATGTTATTTTTTTTCTCAAAACTTTTAGGATTGGAGGCTTTGTTTTTCTAACAAAAGATATATTTTATGGTCTAAATAATATGTCTACCAATTTAAGTGAAAATTGATGGAAAAATACATTTATTAATGTAGTCTAAAATAATAGGCACATAATATAATATAATGGGTCTAAACTTTATTTTCAAGTATTATAGAGCTAATTTATCTATATATGTTTGTGAAGAGTTATATGCTGATATATTGAATGTTCGTAAGGTAACTATTATTTAAAATTTATTATCACTGATAATAATTATTATTGTCTCATATACATACATGGAAAAAGAAAAAAAAAGAAGGTCAAATACGTACGTACGTTCAAACTACTGAACGGAAGGAATAGTGAGATATGTAAGGGAGGAGGAGGTTGGTGGGTCATCGGTTTGTTTTAAGAGATCTAAAACGGTTTATAATATTGGACCCACCGATTTCAGTGAAAATTGATGGATAGATGTTTTTTTAAAGTTTTTCTATGATTTTCTCTAATTTATTAGAGCGCCAAGTGGTGGCTTGAGAGCGTTTTGAGGAAGTTTAATGGACTTTTAGTATATAATAGATGAGTATGACGTGGCCAAAAAGTTCAAATTAATCATGTAATAACAAGTATTGTGAAGGTCTATTTCTAAATTATAATGAGAAGCTTAAAAAATTCGTATTTATCTGTCCCAAATAGTAATTACTGCTGTTCAGCATCAGCCTAGAGCTTCATATATACCTGTGAAATTCCTTCCGAGGAAAACTTGACTTACCCCAATCCCAAACACATAAGTAAAAGAAGCTAGCTAACATCCATCATATCTGCTAGACACATCACAAGTGCCAGGTGTAGGAGGCATCAAGAAAGGTCTTGAGACAATAGCGTGTCATGCATTTCCAACATATCACTCGATCACCTACTTGACTACACTTCAGACCTCATCCTCAATTGACTTGTCCAGGGTATACATGAACAGAGCATACCACATCTACTGCCTGCATGCACAGAACATCATTCTTGCCTCACCTTGAGTCGAAGTACCAGTAGTGGGTTTGTGTTGTGTACTGCTTGCGCTAACATGGAGAGAGCAACATGTTACAGTCGAGTTGGTACTGACGGTTCACTGGTACCTGAATGTTACAGTCGAGTTGGTACTGCAGACCATGGATCAGTACTTTTACCTAGCTGGTTTGATATGGATAATGGATGCAAAAGCAATACTATCTACTCCCTCCGTCCCGTTATTATATTTGACATTTCCGACCAGATCGTGAAAATTAAGGAACGTGTGAAATTACATATTTGCCCCTGGGCCTTCTCCTCTCAACACGTGAGTCGCCGCTGTGACGGAAGAAAGAGGCGGAAACGCCGCCACCCCCCAACGCCGGAAACGCCGGCCGCTACGCCAGCCGCCGGGGCTCACCTCAAGATGCCGCCGCCACCCGTACTTGCTGGAACCGTCGCCGCCACCCCTCCTTGCCGGAGCCGCCGGCGCTCTCTCCCGACGCTGCTGCTCATAATTGGGCACCCCAGGCCTGAGACCCAGCAGAATTTTTAGATAAAATTTTACAACACTCGTAGTAAGATCTCATGCCCTCCTTTTCACCTACAACGGCATCGATCGATCACCTGAGCCATTTGCCATTTGCCACTGATCTATGAACACTGTAAAACCTTATTCGCAGGTTCAGGCATGCTGCAGCTGCTGCATCTGCCAAATTGTGCTTATCCTGTGTAAGAAATAGCTATAGATTGACTCGGCCGGGCAGGTGAGCAGTAGAGCATTCAAATCTCCTTTTCTAAAGATGAATAAAGAAGAATGAATCAGTTGTGTTTACAGTATTCAGATTTTACTTTAAAAGTTTGTGTTTTTACAGTATTTTCAGAGCTGCTCTTGGATTGCCAGTTTTTCGGCTGAAATTTCATAGCAGTTCTGATGATTTACTCCCTTCATTGCCCACTCAAAAAAACTCTCTTTTGCAGTAGTACACTAGTTTATCAAATTTCAACGTCCAATCTTCTGGGAAAAGAAGATTCAGACCATCTTTGCCAGAAGAAGTGTATTCATCATCTAATGCAACAGGACAGTAACTCCTGAGCTATGCAAACAGGTGAGTTATATAATGCTCAGACAGACAAAGATCATCTTATGTTGAATTTGGCTCAGTAATTTTTAGTGGGCAGATATGCTCGGACAGACAAAGAAAGGCTGACAGTGTCTTCAGACTTGTTCAGTTGCAGTTCAACTGGAAGAGTATGTACTGAGTGTACTCAGTTCTTGAGTTTCATTTTATTTACAAAATCTGGATTAATCCTTCAGTAGAAACCCTGTTTGCCGCTGGGCTGCTTGAACCTTCTTGGCTTCATCTCCTAGTAGAGCAATATTTTGTGCATCATTGCTGTGAGGTGATAATAGGACTGAAAAGTGACAATATGGTCAGATTTTGTGAGGTGATAATAGGCTTGAAAAGTGAAAATATGGTCAGATTTTGTGGATGTTGAAATTCAGATTTTGTGATAATGTAGGAGAGGAAGAATCCAAGAGCAATTAGGATGTGACTTTCAGACCTACATTCAGATTTTGTAAATGTACTGTTCATTTTTAAATCTTGAATTACTTTAGTTTTTTTGTCCTCTTAGCAGAATTTATGACAGATCTTATGAATTCAGCATTTCACTGTGAATTCGCATGACAGTAGCAGCATTCCTTGCTAAAACCTTAGGTTGCAGCTTCATCAAAGCAAACAACTACCATTCTCAGGCAAACAAAGGTCTGAAGAACTCATTATCTCACAACCAACCTACATTTCCTTTTGTCATTTCTGAACTTCTCAGTTCCTCCCTGTCCCTGACAACAGCAAAGATGAGCAAGGTCATCCACTGTGTGCTGAATGAATCCTGCCAAAAACCATACTTATAAGCCACAGACAAGTGCAGCAGCTAAGCTAGCTCACCTTCCTCCTCACCACCAAGAACGCAAGAACGCAGCGAGAGAGGAGGAGATTCAAGAACCGGAGGAATTGATGTCGTCTTCGGCTGTGATTCCGCCGCCGTCGCCGGAGAGGAGGGTGCCGGTGGTGGCCGACGACGGAGGTGGAGGACATGGGACAAGATGGTGGCGTCCGTCTCCATCCACTACTTCATCCGCCACATGTGCCGCCACGCCGCCGCTCGGGGCTCGTCGGCTTTCTCTGCAGCGTCATCGGCGTCTTCCTCTGCTGCGCCGGTGTTTCCCGTCGTGGTGCGTCCCGCGTCGGCGGAGCACGCGGCGGAGATGGAGCGGCTCATCTCGCAGCTGCCGCTCTTCACGCTGGCGTCGTCGCTGGCGGCGCTCCCGAAGTCTCCCGCGCCCGCTGCCGCCATCCCCTGCTTCTTCGCGCCGTCTCAGGCGAGGAAGGTGACTGTCGCCGTCGAACAGAGGGGTAAAGATGGAAACGGTTTGTCTGATTATACTGCAGCGTCAAACATTTAGACTCCTTTTTAAATGAACTGCAACGTCAAACAAAACGGGACTGAGGGAGTAGTTAATAAGCACATTGCATGGGCATATTTTCCCAGTTGAATTGCAGAATAAAAAATAAATAGGTGCAACATGTATGTACTGTACCGTCACATTTTCTCGTAAATTTGAAAATCATACGAAGAGAAATATACGGTAGTGTTTTCTCAATCGAACAAAGGTACATGTTATATTACTCAGTCAACTATCAACCAGCCAGGGCAACCAGCATGTGGCGTGTACTTGACAATAGTAGCATCCGGATGATAGAGGTGGGTTTTGATATTTTAGGAGTTGTCTCTATAGTCTAGGGAAGTTAACTAAAATTTTGATCATATATGTGAATGGATCAATATGTCTCGGGACTACATATCTAAAGGAAATCTTAATTAGTTAAATTATAAAAGAAGTTGAATCCACCCAAGTCAGAAAAAATGAATGGCTAATGATAATAATAGTATACTATATAGATGGAAATTAAAATTATGTGCTTACATGTCAATGTGGTTTGTGAGAACAAAATAGTTGTATGATTTCTACTGATAGTAGAATCAATCCAAACCGTTCATCTCTTCTATTCCAATGGATTATATTGATTTATTTATACCAATTCAGGTACATGTAATGGATTAATTTTTTTCCACAGGTTGTAGAACCTATAAATCAACGGTTAATACTACTGATAATAATATTGTGTGTACAATACTTGTAGAGATCATTGTAAGGCACCCGTGAAGAAAAAAAAAACTGCTTCGCACAATTAATGAGGGCGCGTACATGAAAGGGGAGCGCGGGATGCATGTAAATTACCTCCCATCGCTTTGACCATTTGAGAGATCGGGTTTAGTGAACTTCTCTTAAGAAATCAGTTTCTACACAGTCCTACATGCATGGGAATTAGCTAATCCACACGTAAGATAACTAACTAGGTGATTCCCTGTACTTTGCTGCTGAAATTCCTAAGTAACTTTTAATATTATTTTAATAATCTAGCTAAAAGTAAAAATTATATTAGTTACTAACAACAAATAAAACTGGTTTGTCAAACTGTGTTCAGAGAGAAATACATTTAGTAGATTCTGTATGAAATTGCAGATGAAATATGATATCCCGCTATTTGACTATATTTTGCGTGCGTGTATTATTCCTTGTCCCAGGAGGCAAGGTACACCAAAAGTTGATACATTTCAGAGTTTATCAAGCGGAAGCGTAAATAGTTAATTTATTACATGGGCGGCGAAGGCCCAGCACACACAAAGACAAACGGGAAATAGCGGAAGACTAGGGCAACGACCACAGGCGCTTGACGGCAGGCACGAGCTAAACACCAGAGCCTTCATCATCCAGGGGCTCCTCTTCTGGGTTTGGGAAAAATTGAGCAAGACTGAGTACAACCACCGTACTCAACAAGACATACCCATAAGTGCAGAATAAATGCCAGGGAGTACAAGGGGGGTTATAATATAAAGGGTTAGGGTTTGCAGTAAACAGCATTAAAAGACACTTAGTTGCTCAAAGCTATTTTGTAAATACGATCCTAGAGCTATACAAGATTATTAATCAAGGCCGTGAACCCACACGAACCTGCCTTAGCCCAAGGCCTACGATGATTCAGACCGAACTGGCAACCCGACCCTGGGTCCCAGCTCGTCCCAAGCCAACCCAGGCCAACCATTCCACATTTTAGTTGTTAAGCAGGTTTTAAGAATTAAAACACTAACTTGGGTACATTGCTCGGCTTGCCCATAACCGAGGGCGCGGCTATTCAAATAGATTATACTCTGATCAGAGGTGTACATCTTTACCCACAAGACACATCTTCCTCACGTGTAACCACGTGCCACATACCACCACGGTATACGAACGGAAGACATGACATAGTTTCCAACCCATCCTAGCCATAAACAAGAGTACCGACCCAACCCCACCTACGGCCGGAACCCCCGGGACAGGTAGGCAGGACTGAGCCCCTAGCAGCAGGACACCGGCCCTGTGCCATGACATCTTGACTACCGGGCCGCAGCTCGTGTAGCGTTTATTTGCCGTAGAGATGTCCATCGACCCCCGACTTCGTCCATCTCCATCCGTGTACTTTTGTTTATAACCAGACTGAGCCACAAACTAAGCCTTACCCACTAGACATGTGGAAGTACGGTAGTGCTTTGCAACAGAGGCCCGAAGACCGGTCCTTATATGGTCGAGGTGCTACTGTCAAAACCATGCACCCCGAGCCCAGCCTAAAACCATTTTGAGGGTTTTGAATAGAGGGGGAGGTGTGAATCCAATTCCACAATAATCCAACCATTCCACAGTGTCCAGGTGATAAGAGTATTCCCAAAGTCTAGAGTTGTAAAACCACCTAATGTTGCCTAATTAACCAACGAAGCATCTACCTAAAATCATACTAGTGGTACCATGAGTAGAGTGTCCACTAGTTGGGGTTTTGTTTATTATAGGGTAAACAAGGAAATAATAACAATAACAATAATAAGGTCATAACAAAGGTAAATAGGCATGGCTAGATAAAACAGTGATAACGCGGGAATTTAAATAAAGCGATAATGCAATAATTTAAATCAAAATAATTTTATAAACTGGGATTCAATATGCTCAAGGATGATGTGACTTGCCTTGCTCGCTTTCACAAACGTCGGCTTCAACCTCCACGAAGAGCGGATCTTCCGAAGCTGCAGCGTCTACACGACCAACGGAAAAGAAAAGGCTTTTACTCTAATAAACTCCATATAACAAGCAGGAACAAAGCACAAAAATGGGTTCTTGACTTCTTAAGGAAAAATTAGAGACTTGAACGGTCCAATTCCGAGTTCAAATGGTCAAGTTATGGCCATTTGAAGTTTATATGCTCTTTACATGGATATTTGCGAATTTCTTCATTTAAATTTTTAATTTAAAAAGGGTTTATTGCGTCAGCCGAGGGGAGGGGGCGCGCGGACCGGGTCCACGGGAGTGGGGCCCACGCGGCAGCCTCACGGTCCACGGTGGACCGGGCGCACCCGGGCTCGCACCGGCCGGCGCCGTGGGCCCCACGCGTCAGCCGCACCCGAGGGCGCGGGTGGCTGACGGCCGGGCCCCACGGGGCGGCCACTCGGCGCGCCCGAAGGCGGCCACTCGGCGCAGCTGGCGGGAGGCGGCGCCCGCGCCCCTATGGTCGCCGGCGGCGGCCATAGGCACGGCGGAGCGGCGGCCGAGAGAGGGGAAGGGAAGGGGGAAAAGAGGCGGCGGTCCACGGCTCACCCTAGGTCGACGGCGATGACGAAAAAAGCGGCCGGAGCGGAGGAAGGCGGCGGCGCGGCTCGGGCCGACGGGGTCGACGGCGTTCCGGCGGTCGGCGGACTCGGCGAGGGGGTGGACGGAGTCGACGGCGGTGCGGCGAAGCCGGAGGAGGCGACGCCGGGGCGGGAGACGGTCCCGGCGAGCGGAGAAGGCCGGCCGGAGGTCGTCGGCGACGGAAGAGAGAGAGGGCGACGGCGCGAGCTCGATTCCGGCGGGGAGACGGTGCAGCAAGGGCGGAAACGGGCCAGGGAGGCGCGGGGAGGGTTTAAATAGGGTTGGAAGTGGGAAAGAGCGGCCGGAGGGGAAGGAAACCGGCGCGGGAGGTCCGGCCGCCATCAATGGCGCCGGCGAGATTTGCGGGGGCAAATCCGCCCGTTTGAACGCGAGAGAGAGAGGGAAAAATGGGGGGAAAGGGAGAGGGGATCACGGGGAATATTTCCCCCCACTTTATTGCACGCGGGGACGGCGGGAGGCGGCGGGATTCGCGGCGGCGGCGGCGCTAGGGTGCGGGGGAGGCGGCGGGAGCGGCGGGAGGAAGGGGATGACGGGTGGGCCCCACCCGTCAGCGAGGGTGGCGGGCGGGCCCGCCCGTCAGCGGCGCGCGTGCGGGGAGAGACCGAGTGAGCCGCGGGGAGAGGAGAGAGAGAGAGGGGGGGAAGAGAGATGGGCCGGGCCGGCCCAAGGGAGGGAAGGGGGACTTTTAGGGTTTTTCTTTTTATAAAACCTTTTTAACTTTGTTTATTTCTTAATAATTATTATTTGTGCTCTGAAAATTCCACTAAAATTTATTTACGCATTTTAGGCTTTTAGGAAATATACAAAAATCCTCCAAGCCTTATTTGACTTTTAACTTTGCATATTTTAATTTTTGGAGGCTTTCACACGGATTTTAATTATTCTAGGCATAATTTAGAGGATGTATTTTCGAGTCGTTTTGGGACGTGACAGCAGCCCATTTACCTCAGGTTCCCGGATAATTGTTGGCTACTTATATTTAACCTTTGAGAGAGTATTTACCAAGAACCCATATATACG